AAAGTATTACATATGTCCCTCTTTTTTCCCATTGACATCTTCTAACCTGCCTCCGCTCACCAACCCAGGACTTCACCACTTTATTGTCTATGTTCATTTGTTATGCACATATGCATACAAGTTCTTTGGTTTATCTCTTTCCACCCACCCACCCTCCACTGCCTTCCGTCCCAGATTCCTCACTCTGTTCCATGCTTCTTTGTTGAAGAGACTGTCTGGACTCCATTGTATGCTCTTGTCTCCTTTGTCAATTTTTTAAAAAAATATTTTTATTGATTTAAGAGAGGAGGGGAAAGGGAGAAAGAGAAACATCAATGATGAGAAAGAATCATTGATGGGCTGCCTCCTGCATGCCCCCTACTGGGGATCAAGCCCACAAACCGGGCATGTGCCCAACTGGAATCCAACTTGGTACCCTTCAATTCTCAGGCTGATGCTTTATCTACTGAGCCAAACCAGCTAGGGCTCCTTTGTCAAATAATAATTGAGGGTAATGGCTTGGGTCAATTCCTGGGTCCTGTTCTATCTATATATATATATAAAAGCCTAATATGCAAAGTGTCCCCTTAGGAGTTCGACTGACTTGGAGTTTAATCGTTCGCTATGACGTGCACTGGCCACCAGGAGTGGCACAGAACAAAGGAAGGCCCCTGCCAGCAGCCAGGGAAGGGAGGCCCCAGCGGGCAGCCAGCAGCCTCTAGGGACCCTATCTGTGCAAAAATTTCGTGCACCAGGCCTCTAGGTGATTTATATGCCTGTTCTTGTGCCAGAACCAGGCTCTTTGGATTACAGTGGCTTTGTAGTATAACTTGATATCTGGTATTGTGATCCCTCCAACTTTGTTCTCTTTTCTCAAGATTGCTGTGGTTATTTGGGGTCTTTTTTGGTTCCATATAAATTTTTGGAGCGCTTGTTCTAGATCTGTGAAATATGTCATTGGTATTTTAATAGGGATTGCATTGAATCTGTAGATTACCTTGGGTAAAATGGACATTTTAATGATGCTAATTCTACCAATCCTTGAACACGGTATATCCTTCCACTTGTTTATATCATCCTCTGACTTTTTTTTCCCCCAAAGTCATGTAGTTTACCCTCCTTGGTTAAGTTTATTCCTAAATATTTTATTTATTTTTTTGCAATGGTAAATGGGATTTTTTTTAAAGTTTCTCTTTCTGAGAATTCATTATTGGTGTATAAAAATGCCATTAATTTCTGGGCGTTAATTTTGTACCCTGCTACATATTTGATGAAGTCTTTAGGGCAGTCTATGTACAATATATTGTCATCTGTGAATAATGGCAGCTTTACTCCCTCCTTTCTAATTTGGATGCCTTTTATATTTTCTTCTTGTCTGATTACTGTTGGTAAGGCTTCCAGTACTATCCTATCTAATAAAAGAGAAACATGGTAATTAGCCGTACCTCCGCTACCCTTCCCATTGGCTAATCAGGGCGATATGCAAATTAACTGCCAGCCAAGATGGCGGCCGGCAGCCAGGCAGCTAGAAGCGAACAGGAGGCTTGCTTGCTTCAGTGACAGAGGAGGCCAACGTTCCCCGTTCCCCGCCTGCCGCTGCCGGCCTCTGAGCTTGCAGTTTGAAACATTGTTACAAATATAGAAGCTAAACAAAACCCCAGAAACCTACTTTCAGCAAGCCGGGTTCTCAGAGCTGAAGTTGAAACAGTGTTTCTATTATAGAACCCAAACAAACCAGATACCTGCTTTCAGCAGCCGAGGCCTCAGAGCTGGAGCCAAGCCTCAGAGCTAAAGCTGGCCCAGAATAAAAAAAAAAAAAAAA